GTTAGCTGGGTGAACACCGCGATGTCTCTCTATGCGACACAGGCAGGGGCGACCAGGGAGGTTCCCGTGTGACGATTCCTCTATAAGAGGGAGGCATGTGAGAAGGAGGCATGTGAGAAGGAGGCATGTGAGAGGGAGGCATGTGAGAAGGAGGCATGTGAGAAGGAGGCCTGTGTGACGATTCCACTGTGAGAGGGAGGTTCCCGTGCACGTCGACCAATGTCGCGGCGGCGGCGCGCGTGTACGCAGTCTCGCGTCGCTCACCGACACGCGCCGACATATAAGCACGACCCCGTCGCTCCCGCCGCCCGCTCGCAGACGCTCCTGCTGACGTCACGTAGCATCGCTATCGTCTGCCGCTGCTGCTAGCAGCTGATCCGCCGCGCCTCGCCCGATGTCATACGGAATCTGGCTTCATGCGGTCTCCAACGCAAAGCAACTTCTCTCTCCTACACTATAGACAGCAGCGCTGCTGCTGCTGCTGCTGCTGCTGCCGTACGATGGACCACGCACGTAGCGTAACGTCGGTTGTAGTAGACTCTCTATCGTAGAGGCAGACCCCTGTGTGCGGGAAACTCACCGTGCTATGAAGCACTCATAGACACACCGTTGTCATTACAAGCAGCGAACGAAGAAGATGGATATCAGTTGGTACTGCCGCCTTATCTTTCTCATCACGCTGCGCTCAGGTAAGCTTTAACAACCGCTCAGGTTATCTTTAACGACCGCTCAGGTAAGCTTCAACGACCGCTCAGGTAAGCTTTAACGACCGCTCAGATTATCTTTAACGACCGCTCAGGTAAGCTTTAACGACCGCTCAGGTAAGCTTTAACGACCGCTCAGGTAAGCTTTAATGACCGCTCAGATTATCTTTAACGACCGCTCAGGTAAGCTTTAACGACCGCTCAGGTAAGCTTCAACGACCGCTCTGGTAAGCGTTAACGACTGCTCAGATAAACTTTAACGACCGCTCAGGTAAGCTTTAACGACCGCTCAGGTAAGCTTTAACGACCGCTCAGGTAAGCTTCAACGACCGCTCAGGTAAGCGTTAACGACTGCTCAGATA